GGGAGGGAGAGAGAGAGAGAGAGAGAGAGAGAGAGAGAGAGATGCTTGCAAACTGAGCACATCATGTAATTCTTTCACCATGAGTCAGGAGCCTTAATGGTGGCGGTTTGTCTTAATTCTTATTATAGAAATACTAGTCTAAGCTAGAATTCCAGTAGAATACTAGAGTCTGACCATCCCTCCATCCTCTCTTGTGATTGGCGTGTCCACATAATGGCAATACCAATCGCACATACATTCCCAGAAATGATAATGGAATCGACATCGAATCGATGTCGATACGATGTTGAAAGCATCAAATCGATGTCCATTTTCATTTCTGACTGAGTTCATATTACCAATTGAGAGCAAACACACATTTCGGACATCCACGCCATTTTTAGGGCATGGCCAGAATCTGGTTTTCTAAAGACTCTAATCTAAGCCAATGTGCAGTAATACCACGCGGCGCGAATCCTGTGAAACGATTACATTTCCTTTTTTTTACTCGTTTGTTCCATATGTTTGCAAGATTAATGTCTAATGCAGATTAGTTTGGAAATTTGATAAACCGTTGTTCGAATCATAGCCAGGGTACTTTTATTTTTAGGAGCACTACACTAGAGAGCATGGTGGAAGAGATAACATGGGGTGCAGTTGCCGTTACGAATGCTTCGAAGTGTTTTTTGATTAAACAATTAGTAAAATTTTTTCTTCCGATTAGTTAATCAAATACTTGTGTGGCAACTCGACCACACCCATGGTGTGCAGTTGGACAGTATCCCTTTTAAAAATCTATGCCCTCTCCGTGTATGGACCTGAGAAGTCGCTGCTTTTCAGGAAAGAGCGATTTCATAAGGCTTCGTAAATGATCTGCAAAATATTCATATGCCTCAATACAGTCCATAGGAACCTTGCTGAAGAATTCTTCGGAGGTAGATAGTACATAATGGTGCAATTTGTTAGCTTTATCCGTATCAAGGATTAATTTGTATAGAAAGACACGTCGTAGACTAGAGGAGCCGCTAATGGCTATGTTGATAGCCATTAGCATAAGGAAGTGCCAGAAGGTTTCCAATTCAGTAATGATTTCACATAGTGGCGCAAATCGGCAGAAGTGACTTACAGATTTATTTGTCTCCGACGGAGTGAGGAGCGTGGGATTACCATCATTCATAATGCAGGCTCCATTTATATCTATCATGCTTAGAAGCGCCCTGTCGGAATGATCGGATTTGGAGCATTCCCAAGAGATGTGATGTGCATTAAAATCACCTGTTAACAGCGTGTTCTTGTACGTGTTAAGAGTTTATGAGAGCTTGTCGAATCATTCTTGAGGTGTGTGTTGATTCGGATGATGGTAGATGTTAATAACGGTTGCTCATCATTGAGATTGATTGTTATACCTTGTACTTCTATCGAAGAATGATGTAGATCCGAAAGATCCAAATGACTGAATATGATGTTATTTCTTAATAAGATACAGATTCTTCTCTGCCCAGAGCTCTCTGAGTCCTTTCTAATAGCTTTAAAAGGTGAAAGTCGGAAAGGCGTGGTTGGATAAAGTAAGATATCTTGTAAGTAGAAAATGTCAAACTGTCGCCTGATATGTTGTAATTAAGGAAGTTTGCCACGAATGCCGCAGCAATTCTATTGTAGGATTCTAATAGGTTGTAAATGTTTATTGCGGGTGAAGGTAATTACTATGTTGCTAATAGTACAGCATTACTAAGAGAGGAGGAATGTAGATTACTTACAGAGTCAGTACTAGATTCAGAACAAAAACCAAGAGTGGATAGGATTTCAGAAATTTTTTGAAATAGAGAAATAATGGGGGATATCATGCCAGTGACGGTCGGAATGTTAATCAGAGATTCGCAATTCTCGAGGAAGCTTATAATCTTCTGAATCAATCTTCTGATCATATCTATATTTGAAGTCGATTTCTCTGTGGACGATGGAGGCCTTTTGTCGCCTGCTCCTTTGTGTGGGTAATATTGCTTCGCATCATAGTTAGTGTCGGCCATTGGATGCAAGCAGAAGATCTAGATGCTCCTGATTTGTTTGTACGTTGAGTGATCCGAAGATGATGCAGGAAGAATTTTATATTTTCCTGCAACAGATCCTATTTTGCGGATAAGTGGCTTCCCTGAGGGGAGGCTCGAAACGGTCGGTTAGCCGTGTCTCAGAGGCGGCGACGCTGCTTTTTTGGTATAGCTTATGGGAGGGTTAGAAGAAAAGAGATCCTTTGAGTCATTATGGTCAAGATGTGTTGGAATTGATTATATGAAATAATGCCGTAGAAGGAAGGCTAGATGTAGGATAAGGAGAGCTGTAGAATTTTGGCAGAACGAGAAGAAGAAGAAGAAGAGGAAGTATGACTTTGAAGATAAGGAAAGTTTTTAAAATCAAGAAGCGTATTATGAGAAGGCGGAGAGAGGAAGCTGTTGGAAGCAACTATTTTTCTAGCTTCCACCAGAGGAATGTTGTTCTGCGCGGCCAGGCCGAGAATAGTCTTGTGCTTAATAATGATAGAACATGTATGCGAGATGATTCCCTTCACAATTGATACACTTGAGATGCGCCTGATCAGCTGAGCAAAAGTGATCTTCCTCTTTAGTGAGTCCATAGAAGAGACATCTTGGTTTGATGCTTTTACAGTTCGCGACCGATATGGCCAATTCTATGACAAACGTAACAAATCCTAGCTTTTGGAATATATGCATCGATTTTGTATAGAGCATTAAATAAAACCACCTCCTTCGAGAGTGATTATCCTGCAAATTTTATACAGACTGTTCGCCAGGGCGCATAAATGGCCTTGCCGTTGATTATCATGGATCTTTAAAAGCGTTGTACGTCAAGTACTTTGACCGTTGAAGTTATGTTTTCTCTGAGACAATCTAGCGAGATAGATTGATCGATGCCCTTGATAATTCCGGTACAGAGAACCTTAAAAGAAGGAATGAAAGCTCGAAGGCCTTATCAAAGATAGGATTAGAGGATAGATCAGACGATTAGCCACGTCTGCAGTCTTGACCTCTATTATGGCTTTACCGGCGTCAAGCCTCTTAACGAGAAGAATATCAATTACTCTTGATGGATTCAAAAACAACACGAAAAAGTACAGAAAAATGCATCGGCGTTGACTTATCCGAATATACATATATGATAAAGAGGGAATATCATTTTTAGAATATTTATTAATCGAGATATTTCTCGTTTTGGCAGGTGCCAACGCACCCAAGGGGGATTCAGATGCGCTGTTCGAATGATTATTCTTAGAGTGAGGCCAAGATCTTCGATCTCGTCCCTTCGCTTGTTACCTCAGCACTACGTTTGCGGCTAATTCTCTCATCATCAATGTCCATAGGAAGCGGCGAATTAATGGCTGTGTCGTCGACGGCGACAAAGGCTGGTAGGGAGGAAACGCCACCGCCATCATTACCTGCCGGTGACTTCCACTATCAAGTAGTAAGTATTTGGTTCATATTCTTATCCGAAGAGGCGTCCATCAAATGCGCACCAGGATCGGAATTGGAAGACGATGAGGAAGAAGGAGAAGGCAGAGAACTCGATTCGATTGAGGGGGGAGAATCATTATGCGATATTCTAGACTTAACAATGGCTTATATCTCCCCCGCCCGATATCGAGAGCTGGTGCCTCTGACATGGGACCGAGAAAACGCAATTTACGGAGAGACACGACAGAGAAGAGCACAAAAATGAACACAGACACGCGCCAGCCCAACTAGCAAATCAAACTAGCGCGAAGAAGCGCTATGCAATCGATTTACGCAAGGAAAGTCCCGTAAAATACCGCAGCGAATGAATCCACGTGTGCATCCAATGCGCCATCTCGCGGAGGTCATTTTCTTCCTAAGTTATTGCTTGTGGCATTGCAAGCGTTAGTTATGGCGCTCGAGTTAGTTCTTTTTTCCGGCTTTCCTTTCTTTCACTCTCTCTAGTGTCATGGCGTTCTGCGTGCGGATCTTTTGTAAGCCTCAGCGATTATAAGTTAATGCTCGGTAAGATTAATAATCACCCTATGTTCACTGCGAGATCGATTACTGTTCATGTCATTAGGTAATTGCTAGTGTCGTCAGATAAATGCTTATATTGTAGATTTTCTTAGTTTCTCATATTCTAACCTAGCAATGCGATACCGATATCCGAGCCATCATACGTACGCAATTACGTCTCTACTTTTGTAATCTGTATGTCTTAAATAATTATTTAATTATATTTAATTGTTTATTTAATTTATATTAAACCGCTTTATGGCATATGAGTCAGAATCAATGAGTAACATTTATTTATAAACTTAACGATTTCCCGCCAATTGTCCTTCGCCGTCAGTCATCGCCGGCGCCCAGACACGCTCGGCGCCACATTGGGCACAGCAATCACAACGTAGTCACATGCTGCCGCGCACTACTGCCTTCTGACAAAGTAGATGTAAACGATAGCAATGTCCACTTTTCTTAGGATACATCATCCATTTTTAAAGGCTGATAAATCGATGTAACACGATTATATGAACCAAATTATCATCTTCAGTCTTGAAAAATGGACGAGACATACTCTAAGAAAAGTGGACGTTTCTGTGTAGTGTACATTCATTTTGTCAGAGGACAGTAGTGCGTGGCAGCATGTGGCTACGTCACAGTATAATCATATCAAATAGCGATACTGAACGTCGGCATCTTTAGCTGCGTTCGGCAATGGAAATCTGAGGCGTCGGAGTGCTCTTTTTCTACAGTGCACGTGACATATGTTATATAAAAGCACTCCGAAGTCTCAAATCTGCATTATCGAACGTAGCTAAAGATGCCGACGTTCAGTATCGCTTTTGATGTAAGTGTTCTTAGGTCACACGAATCATTGTCATGTTGTGAAGTGTACACAGTAGAGTTATGATAGGACAGGCTCTTAAATTTGAATTTCTATTAAGTTTTTAATACATCCGCCATATTCCTAACTGTACAAACCGAATAAGCGTATTAAAAATTGCAGATTACAAAAAAGTTCACTATCGCTACTGGATATGATTATACTGTGGCTACGTTGTGGCTGCTGTGCTTTTGTGGCATCGTGCATGTCTAGCCACTGGCGACGAACTAATGGTCAAGGACAACTGACGGGAAATCACTAAGTTCACAAAGAAATATTACTCATTGTTTCTGACAAACCGTAAGGCGATTTAATACAATATAAACTCAAATGAAATGTTTGGAATATACAAATCGAAGAAATAGAGACGTAATTGCGTGCGTTACGACAGCTTAGATATCGGTATCGCATTATTAGGTTAGAATACGGGAAACTAAAAAATCTACAATATAAGCGTTTGTGTGACGGCGTTTGCGTGAGCAATTATTTAACGACAATGATTATTAATCTTACCGAGCTCTAACTAAAATCTATTGCTGAGGCTTACAAAAACAGAGGCTGCATCCGCACGCAGAACGCCATGACATCAGAGAGAGGGGAGAGGGGAGAGAGAGAGAGAGAGAGAGAGAGAGAGAGAGAGAGAGAGAGGAAAACTGAAAAAAAGAACTGACTTGAGCGCCGCAACTAAAGCTGCGATTTCACGGAGATATGTGTAGATATTTCCCCCTCTTCCATCAGTATAGCTGAAATCAAAGTGGCAGGAAAATTTATATTTCAATATCTCGCCGCAACTGTCTCCTACTTTTTCATAGAGCGTGAAATATCGGGATATAATCAGTTGAAATTTTAAAATATATATCTGTATACTGGCGTGTGACAGCCAACCTGTGTTGACAACTGAATGTATGTAAGTTTCTCAAGTACAAAATTTATGTATATATTAGGTGTACAAATAAGTTTCCGCCGTTTTTTAATCAAAAATTAAGCATTTATTGTAAAAGAACGATACATAATGTTTTATTGATGTAAGTCAAAATGTAAGTGCAAGTTCCTTTTGCGTTTAGCACGAATCTTCATTCAATAATGCTTCCAATTCCGCGTCTTCGTACACTTCCGCTACGTTCTTTGTCTTCGACATCAAATTCACCGTTCTTAAATTTTTGAAATCATTCACGACAACTTCTCTCACTTAAGGCAGCCTCACCATATGCTTCTACAATCGATGAGCCTCAGCTGCAGATTTCTTCAAATTAAAGAAGTAAATCAAAAGTTCCCGCAAATGACGCTTATTCGGCTCAAAACTCGGCATTTTCGCACAAAAAAAAATATATGATGCTGATACAAAATTATATATATATATATTGTGATTGAGATAATTATTTTTTCAGGGATTGAAAAATTAGACAAATAATTCATTTAATGCTTGAATGGAGGACGATTTGAGTGACGAACATTTAGCAAATATATGCGGAAATGTAGTATACGCAAGTAATGTAATATATCGCAAGTAATATTAGAACAGATTAGATGACGACATGTCGCTGCAATACTTAAAAAAAAAAATGCAAGAAGGAGGCCATACAAGAAAAAACAGCATTGGATAGCACCACTCTTTCAAACACTTCAGTTTTCAGTATGTTTCTATCAATATGGTTTGCCTCATTACCTAAGCTGCGTTTAGAAGATATTCGCTTTCATAATTACTTTCATAATTACTTTAGAGTGTTTGCAACGCAATTAGAAGCTTTATTGTCTAGTGTTGGCCCTCAATTGCAAAAGCAAAATTTTATAAAAGAGGCTATAACACCTGCAGAACGCTTGGCAGTAACGTTGAAGTAAGTTTATGTTTACTTTATACAAAATTAATAAAATGATAGCAAACATTGTTATCTCACCGATATTACCTTATATATATATTTTCCTTCAATATTTCAGATATTTGGCATCTGGTGATTCCATAACATCTGACGTTCCAATATCTTATGGGGAAAACGACAGTGTGTAAATCATATACAAAACATGTTCAGTAATTTGAAACGCTCTGCATCCTATGGTTTTATTAGGTATACAACTTTGCCTCCGCCGTTTTTTTCCGAAATTCGAGACTTTATTGTAAAAAACTGGTTATACATTTATGATTCAAAGTATTGTCCATCGCTGGTCACTATCTCCCATCTTTCGGGCAGCGAATCCCGCGTTAAAAAACTGGTCATCTTTTGAGGCGATCCACGAATCGATCCAATTTTTTACTTCTTCATAAGACCGGAAGTGCTGGTCAGCCAGGCCGTGTGCCATTGATCGAAACAAGTGATAGTCAGAGGGAGCAACGTCTGGAGAATACGGCGGGGGGGGTAGGACTTCCCATTTCAACGTTTCCAAGTATGGCTTGACACTTTCGCAACATGGAGTCGAGCATTGTCATGCTGCAAAATCACTTTATCGTGTCTCTCGTTGTATTGCGGCCGTTTGTCTTTCAATGCTCGGCTCGATTGCGTTCGATACTGATCGCCTGTGATTGTTTCAGTCGGTTTTAACAGCTCATAATACACTACGCCGAGCTTTGGTCCTACCAAATACAGAGCATGACCTTGGAGCCGTGAATATTCGGTTTAGCCGTCGACGTGGAAGCATGACCGGAAATTCTCCATGATTTTCTGCTTGGGGTTATCGTAATGAACCCATTTTTCGTCCCCAGTCACAATGCGATGCAGAAATCCCTTCCGTCTTTGCCTTTCAAGCAGCTGTTCACAAGCAAATAAACGCCGTTCAACATCTCTCGGCTTCAACTCGTACGGCACCCAATTTCCTTGCTTCTGAATCATTCCCATGACTTTGAGGCGTTTTGAAATGGCTTGTTGAGTCACTCCCAATGATCGTGCCAATTCTTCTTGATTTTAACATGAGTCTTGATCAAGTAATGCCTCCAATTCTGCACCTTCTCGAAAACCTTCTCTCTTCCACCGCTATGGTCTTCGACGTCAAAATCACCGTTCTTGAAGCGTTGAAACCACTCACGACATGTTCTTTCATTAATAGCGGCCTCACCGTAAGTATTTGAGAGCATTCGATGAGACTCAGCTGCAGATTTCTTCATATTGAAGCAGAAAATTAAAACCTCCCGCAAATGACGAGAATTTGGCTCGTAAACTGACATTTTCAATCGAGAATAACTTTATGATGCAGACACAAATCGACTAATGTTTCTATGGGGTTATGTTGACAGATGCCCAAGTTTATTGACGTTTATGATCTATTTATTTCGATCATTGCTAAAGCCATCTATAGGAAAATGGCGGAAGCAAAGTTGTACACCTAATATCACCGATACTAACAGAAGAAAAGTGGATAGAAATCGCTCGGAACTTTGAAGAGTCGAGAAATTTCATTCATTGTATCGGAGCAATAGATGACAAACATGTTATCATTCAAGTACGTAAATGTTAATAGCAATTGTTTAATCAATTTCAATAATACAATTTCAATAATGCAATAAATAATGCACGACATATATTGCAGTACATATATACATTGTGGTAAAAACAATAATTCGTAATGTTTCAGTGCCCTAATAATGCTGGCTCGAGTTATTACAGTTACAAAAGGTTTACAGTGTAGTATTGTTGGCAATTTGTGATGCACAATATATTTTTCGTTATGTCGATATCGGGGACTATGGGCGACAAAACAATGGTGGTATTTTTCAAACCAGTACGATTGATCAAAAATTCGATTCGGACCGAACATGAATGTGCCAAAACCAGTAGCAATTGAAGGAAGACGGATATTACCGTATTGCCTTGTTGGAAATGAAGCTTTCCCTCTCAAATTATATTTGCTTCGCCCTTATTCAGGTAAAAATGGGCTCACACCAGAGCAAGTTGTGTATAATTATCGCTTGAGTCGGAGGATGATTGAGAATACTTTCGATATTTTAGCAAGTCAGTGGCGAATATATCGAAAATCGATAATTGCTAATCCAAAAAATTTTATGTTAATGATTCGAGCAACAATTTGCTTGCACAACTGGTTCCGAAAAAGCGAGACAATATTACGTATTTGAACGCAGGTTTGGTCGATGAAAACGATCCGAATAGCTTAAATGGATGGCTCTTAGCGAAGAATTTTTGAGAATGAATGTACATTTACAGATATAACTCGAAGTGGATCAAACGTATTTGCAGGTGTATGACACTTAGGGACAAATTTTGCGATTATTTAACAACGAAAGAGTAGTCGTATCGTGGCAAGAGAATCGTTTTTAAGATAGTGATTTTTAAGATAGTGAATAGCTCATAACTCTGTTAAAAATCGTCGTAAAGTAGATTTTTAAAACTGAAACTTTGCTCTATCGAATGATATAATTGCCAATGTACAAATAGGAATATAGATTAGGTTGTTGAAAATTTGAAACTTTCCGGTATGGTAGCGGATTTTGTTATGTTCACGTTTATGTGAAAAGGTTAGTCGAAGGTGACTGATTTCACTAAAGTTTCCACTAAGTCTTGTAGATCATCGTCACCATCAAGTCTCCTCCGCTTACTGGTAGCACTGTTTCCTGCAAAAATTAAAGTATATAATTATTTTCTCCTTTACGCATTATTACCTATAAGGTATACCTGATAAGTTACTGGTACATCTGTCGGATGAAATGTTAGTATCCATTTCATAATTTTTATTCACTGCCTCCTCAGTATCATTCATTGCTAGAGTTTCAGTGTTCTATGCGTTCGTTGTCATTCTGTAACATAAAAGATATCACATAATATTGTAGTAATATTGCAAAAATATTGTCGAAATATCGCACAAATATTTCTGCTAGGGATTTTCGCGGACATTTAATATTGCAGCATTATTTATACAACATTATTTATATATTGATATATTGGGTCATTTAAAAAGTATCCGCGGTTTTTTCATTCAAAAATTGAACAAAAAACCGATACTTTTTAAATGACCTAATATTATATTATTGCTATATTGCAAAATTATGGAAATATTGCATACTGTCTGATGTTACGTACAAGCCTTATAGTTGAACATCTAAAAGAAATTGCATGCTGTCATAATGGATTCACGAACTACATGATGAAGCCACAGATCCACTCGATAACTTCTTTTTTTTACAATGTGTTTTGAAGGAGTCACAGAGAGATTTTCACTTCTTCTTGAGCTTCTTGGTTGATATTACTTTTAAGAAAAAAACAATTAATATTTAATTGTAATAAATTAACAATAAAATGTGTAATTAATGTCAAAAAGTAATGTCATATAATGTAAAAGAAATTAGTATTATTGAATCTTATGAAAATTTCTTCCTACAGTATCTCTTTCTTACGTATTTCACGTTCTGTGAGTGGAAGTTTGAAATTTCACAGAGGAGGCTTCTGTCAAACTTCTGCGGGCCGAGAGTGCGTGAACGCGTTCGCGAGAACATCTCCGCAGGTCGGACGCTCGGACGTAACGATATATAGAATTTATCCGAATTTTAAAAATACTTTATATGCGAAATACTACGTCTTTTGATACCGTTCAAATTCAGTGGTCCATAAAACATTCAATGGTTGACAGTCACGTGATCGATGACCACCGACATCAAAGAAGCCGACAGTTATTGTCGCTACTGTATGTAGTTATACCACAATATATACTATAGCACAACTCTCTGTTGGCACCTTTGATGTTAGTTCCCAAAATGAAGTGCGCATATGTGAAATAAATAATTTCCCTAGTAGCGCTCCCATCTGAATTTCTTTCTCAGTTGCTCATTATTTTTCCGTTCTTTCTCTCTCTTTCTCTCTCTCTCTCTCTCTCTCTCTCTCTCTCTCTCTCTCTCTCTCTCTCTAGGTCATTTGTACATCAAAGTATATATTTGAATCTAAATGTAATAAAACTAAAAGAAATAGATTTATATTTGTATTGCATTGCAAAATAGAAAAAAATATAAAAATAAGAAAATTACATAAATGTTATATGATACAAATATTATATCGTAAAAATATTTTAATTAACGACTGTAGCACACGATGCTTGTTTTCCTGCTAGATCGTTTACATTTTAGTAAATTATCAGAATTGCATCATACAAAAAAATATGATAAATAAAAATATGATAAATAAAATTTCAATTTCAATATAATTTAGAATAAAACAAATATGTTTATCAATATTACATATATTTTAAAATAATAATACAAATGTATGCCTACACACACACACACACACACACACGCACGCAGGGTGTCTCTTAAGTTAGGTCCGGGCATTGCGGGCGTAGAATGGGTCAAGGGGAACGAAAACTTCTCATACCATTTTGAGATATCCACTGCAGTTTTCGAATTAAAAAAGAAAACGTCTAAGCCAATGTGCGATGAAGTCGCATCGTGCGAATTCGTAGCACGGCCTATCACTATTATTAGAATTAACAAAATTGTAATTTTAATAATTTTAATATACTCGTATAACAAGAAATAAAATATAAATATTATAATATAATACAATATAAAAACGAGACACATATAAAGAAGAATAACATGAAATTTATAAATATAATATAGAATAAAAGAGAATAGAAGAGAAATTTATAAATGTAAAATATTTAACAATTTTCTATTATTAAAAAAATTTTTTTTATATGATTTATTATGCTGTGATAGTGTGTAATATATACACATACGAAGAAACAATTTTATTAAATAAGTAGTTGTGAAATTTGGACACGGCGGTTCAAAAGTTATATTTTGTGTCAAATGCAATAAATAACTACCAATATTTTCCTGAAAACAATTCTTTTCAAAATTTTTTACAAATATTTCTTCTAATTTCTGAATATAATTATAAAAGTCATTACTAAGTATGTTAAAAATTTCCAAACAAATTTCCTTCTTTGTTTCTACAAGCTCGAAGAGAACAATATAATGTAGTATTATCTAAAATAGCCTTATTTTCACTTACATATATCACAAGGATTACTGTACACTTTTTAATTAAATAGCATACATACTTTAATGTATTCTCTTCTGGCAAAGCCATTGAACGATAATCATGATTCGGAATATTTAAAATTTTATGCGTCGATGATGGAACAAATTCCGAAATTGTTTGACTCTTTGATACTAGACGTTTTAATATAAAGATTTAATATATCATGATTATCAGAAGCACAATTTTGGGTTTTCGAATGTCCTAAAAATTTTGTACTAAATAGTTTTTTAAAAGCACGTGTAAATTGTATAGTTGTATAGTATTGTCGGATTAAAGCAATTACCACCTTGTTGTCTAACAGAGCCAAGAAATTTTCGACGCCATTTTGATTTATTCTACGAGTTTGAAGATACTGAAAATTGTAATCTTTTAATATTGTCCAGAGCTGAATAATACCATTGATTGTTATCTGCTAGCCATCAAAGCATTTCACTTTTACATATTTGTCATTTCGATTTACAACTTTAATAGATTTTATGAAATATTGTATAATATTTCTTCTAAAAACTGCATTTGTTCTTCTAAAAACTGTCATTTCCAGTAAAAGTTTTTTCATATTCTTTATAATTATTTAGACTTGATGAATTTAAAATATCAAATAATTTATCAAAATGATCTATTAAATTTATAGTTCCAACTGCTTCAGTTGGAAGAAAACCGAAAGACATTGATGTACACATTCCTGCAGTTACATGATTAGCATACTTTACTTTCATTTTTGAAAAATTATTTGGCTCAATATGGTTTACTTATAATTTAGGAGCTGCTTTTATTCATTGCGTACTGTCTCGTTTATAAAATTGTACAATGTGATCCCAAGAAGCTATTTTATTATTAATTTTAAAATTATATTTCAATAAATTATTGCAAGCTTTTATTAAGTGTGGAGTATCAAAAATGTAAACTATTGTATCCTTTAATTAAAAAAGTAGAATTTTGTGTCAAGATTCCTAAATTAGATAACTGTATAAAGTTAGTACTTATATCTGTAATTAATGCATGCACCATAGCATCACAATTTTAACTTAATTATAATATTAAATAAAAAATTTTTTGTACATTGCTATGGCACGTAGTCTCTACAAAACAGAAGCAAATGGGCAATTTCCATTCACCTGTAATACTATGTGCCATTACAATCAAAGCATTTTTTGCAGGTATAGATGATTTTTTATCATCAGTGTCCTTAAATTCAATAATTTCATCTTTTGATATATTATACAAGTGATTTTTTAAATTTATTTCATCTGCACATAATACGCAATTCTGTTAATGGTAAAGACGTTCTGTTAATAGTAAAGAAATTAATTTTATTATAATTTCATTGTTTCAAAAATTTTATCATTTATACCTGGTATAATATTCCATTCTTTTGTAAATAAATTTAAAGAACGTACAAAAGGCAATGCAATATATTTTTGCAATTTTCTATAAGTTCGTAACTTAAAAAATACAAAGATAAAGCAAATTTTTTCAATTCGAAATCATATATTCTGCCATGTTTATTTCTAAATTGTGCGTCAACTTGTGCTATTAGTATTCTATTAAAATTTTCGGGCAATAATTTACGGTCTAATTCTTTCAAACGTTTATATTCGTTATTTTTTTAAATTTTTACCTTCTTAATTTTCTTTTTTTTCAAACAAAGTTGTCGTACTGTTACACGTAGCGTTTTATTTTGTGCCTGTACTCTCTTGATTTTCAAACGCATTTTTTTCTTTCTTGGGCTATCATCCGATGATTTAATATGTTGACTCTCGGATATACTTCTGTAATATGATACGAATCCATTAAGTTTATGATAAGAAAGATTATTTTTTAATATGATAAGCAATCTGTTACGTCCAAGCTCCGCATGGAGCTGAGGGGGTGAACGCAATAGAAACCGAATTATTAGACCGATTTGGTCGTGTCCAAGCTCCGGACCGTAAGGGAGCCGTGGGGAAGAATCGACACAAATCGGGAGGTACTTCGCTTCGTTCTGAGGCTCCTAACGAGCCGGGGATCGAATGGAGGACGAAGTGGAAACCTCAACTCGTGCTCCGCTAAACGGACGTACTTTTAATTTAAAGGGCCCAAACTGAGTCAGTGTGCCGGGAGGGCGCACTTTAACGCCAGATGTGTACGTCTGTATGTTCTAGCTTTCTGTCATGGAACTTAATCCAAGTAATCGGGGAGAGGGCGAAGTGCAACCGTGGGAAAACTTACAATAAATACAAGGAGAGGTTTATCAATTAGCAAATGAGGGTTTAGTTTAATAGTACTATAATAAAAACAATATTTAGTAATATATTTTTCTTAAGTATAAAAATACAATCCTTTGGTTCTCTATTCTGAAGCGTATGGATTTATGTATGTGTGAGTGTGTATGTGTGCGCGTTTGGAAAGAGAATTGCGTATAATATTGGTGTTATTTTGTGTGAGGAGGATTTGGAAAGAGGAGGAGGAAATTAAAGTTTGAAAGAGAGTCGATGGAAATGAGGAATGGTATATACTGAAAATAAGCAAGTGGATCAGTGGAGCAGTGGAAGTGCGATGCTGACTATCACTCGATCATTAGTGGAAGGAATAAAGTAAGACATGTATTCCAACAACTGATGGACGTTATGAAAGAGGAGAGGAAGGAGATTGGCGGGGGAGTAAGCATCAGGTTGAACAGAAGGAATGAGAGGATGATAAATTCAAGACGGGAAATTCCGCAATGGGAGTGATGATATCGGATGTGAAACAGGGGGAGGACTGGACGGGAAGAGTCATTGAAGAAGTCTGGGAACAGATCGGAGACAGGAGAAATTTCTAATAGCGGTGATAAAGTCGAGGGTGAAGACTGAACGACCAGAGTCTGTTCTTGGGCCGATGTTTGAATTAGCGGAGATTGTTCCCGAGAGTTTTGTGCAGTGTTAGAGCGGACACGGGCGATGAGTCGGCACGCGTTGTTAATCCCCGCTAGGTGATGGTGATGAGGGGCGGAAGAACTGTGTGAACACACTAAAAATTTGGTCGTCTTTAAAAAGGGACCACACAAGAAGAGGAGGGACCACTCAGTGTACTGCAGCAAAATCAAAATTTACTACTTGCAATAATGATGAATAAGGGTACTCGAGAGATCGTCAGAGAGAGTGTCGTCGATGGGATGTTGGGCTTCGTCCAGATCCGCTTCGTCAAATTTCCCGATCAGGCAGTGCCGTTGAAGATGATAGTATGGTTTTGCTCTGACTTTACTAGAGAAAAAGAGCTTCGAAAATCGGATAAAGCTTTTTTCAAAAGTCCCGACAACTATAGCTTCCCAAAACTCAGAGAAAAATCACCCTGAAGGTCGCGGAACCACGGTTTTTATACTAAAAACCGTGGTTTTTAGTTTCGCCCCTAATTACTCCAATTTGAATTGGTGAAATAGGTTCGTTAACTAGTAATAGAATTATTCTTTGCTCTCGGATTGGTCAAGATCTTGGGAGGATGTTGACCGGAAGGATGTTGATCGGAATCTGTAGTGTGGAAAAGTATTTTCTTAAATTTTATGACTTTAAAATTTATGGGAAAACGCACGTGCAGTGCGTCAAGAAAGCGCACGTGCAGCGTCGACACGAGACTACCCAGAATCTATCCATGAATGTCGCGTATCGCTTCTTAGATTTTGTGATCACGAACTCGTGAGAATCGTCCATGACGTAAAAAAAAAGTATTTTGGCGTCGGTCTTACGATTCCAATGATATATTTATTATCTTAGTCTCAGTGTCCGAAGGGCACAAACTTGATGTCCTTTTGGTTCCGTCGTTCGTGCAGGTGTACCGATTTTTAATTTATCTCGGACATTTACGAAAAGATACTGGATTTTTCGTTTTAGTTTTTAGTGTGGGAAAAGAAAATTTTTAGTTTTCTCTAGGCTATAACGCTCAACTTGTGCGCAGTTGTCTTTTTATTTCAACGAATTCCTATCTCCATGAAAGAAAAGAGTCGTGGAAGTCCGCTGGACGTAACAAATCTAATAAATTCTATTAACAAGACATAAATAATTCAAATAATATTAAATAAAAAATAAAGTTAAAAAAGAGAAATATATATTAATTTTTTAACTGCATTCTAGTAATAATTAAATGTTGTAAAAAAATTTTATTATTGAAAATAAGAAAATAAAAATATACTTTACTATAATTTACTGAATGAAAATTTATGGTTTAACTTTTTCAGCTTCTATGTCATGGATGACAGTTGTTTGTGTATTTGTGACGCTGATGTCACTTTATATAGAAGGTTCGCTCGCCAAGGCGGCGTGTAATAATGATAACTCTCTTTGTTGTAACAATTTGGAATTTATTGTTGACTCGAATTAAGATTTGTTCGAAATGGACGGTAAGCGATGCTCGTAAGCCGATACTTGATGCGTTTAGTTCGATGCATGCACAGATAATTCGCACTTGATATGACGTCGAGTAATTTCTTATACCGTTTGAAAGAAAGTGTATTGTGAGCAGTAACGAGACCGTAAATTTCGCCGGAGATTCAGTAATTTTCGCGCATTGAATGCTCTCGCGGTACGTGTATACTCAGAACGTTTTATATTTGTCAAATTTTCGAGTCTTGCGCAAGAGGGGTCGCGTGCTATTTGAGATAGACAGCGTGATTAGAACAGGAGCGAGATACACGCATGTTTTGAACGAAATGTTGGTCGCAAGCATGTTTGAACAGGGATGATTCGGTATCTATGAGCCGTTTACTTGCCATCCTCGAGAATACATTGAAATTAACGATGATTTCGGAACAACAATGATTGGCAGAATTATTTCAAGTATTGGTATTGCTGAAAATAAAAAAAAATTTTTTTATTTAAAAAGTATTTTTCATTAATTATTCAAAAATATTTTCCATTAATATAAATTATTTAGTCTCTTCTTACACTTGAACTACTTGAACATCAGTTATCTCTGCACATGTATTTCTGCAATAAAAAAATATATATCAATTGTATAGAATATCATTATATGAAACAATATAAAATATTTCAGTTTAAGGCTCCTGACTACTCAGCCAAGAATTCTGCATTAACGGTGGCGACACAGAATCAGACGACGATCTGGCGAAACGGTAGCCACACTTATGAAGCACGAGCCCATGTCCGTGTGCTCGCCTGCGCTAAGAGTGAACGAGACAGTGAGCTCCTTCTCACACTAATTACTTGTTTCAGCGATCAAAAATGTTTTCTCGGCAATCTCGGCCGCTCAGCGCCTAGACATCAATAAGAGGCGGGGGGCATTCTAAATAACATATAAGTTTTAATAAATTGTAGTAATAGTGTATTCCCATTAATCCAAAATAGTATAAATCATGTTAAAACGCAACAGTTTACGAGATATTTAATTGTTTACGATTTTTCATGCGTGTTATATAATATATCTCTTCTTCATAAACTCGAGTAGCAAGAATAGTAGAAGTAGAATTTTACCAGAAAAAAATTATAACCAGCACTTCTCTTCACGAAAGTCTCGAAAGGCCATCAGAAAAGAAATGCGTATGTTTGAGACTCGAGACTTGCGAAGAAAGTATGCGAAAAAAAATCGAATAATTGCAAAAAGCACGTTTTTCGCTTAATATAAAACGAAAGATATTGATGGAAAAAAATTCGGTATGAAAAATGTAGGTATTTGAAATCTATCTACAAAATAAGACATGGAATATTAAAATCGATCTATTAGTTCAGTAGGAAAAAAAATAAAAAAACATCAAAAAAGGCCTTCTTTTCACTCGTTCTGTTCATTGAGATTTCAACACAAAGCTTTGAAATTCTCGTAAAATGTAGCCCTCGTAATAACGAACAAATCTAGCCTTGAACAAGCCTGAAAATGTTCATTAATTTTTGCAAAAAGCCATTTGTTCACTAAAAACCTGTCTGCGGAAAATTTAATTTCTTCATCTTTGAGGAGTCGCACAGCAATTTACAGGGATTTTGCTTCTTCAGGAGTTGCACTGTAACGTACGCTTAATAAAACGATTTTTTTGCAGTTAAACTATTATAAAAGGATTTTAAAAAGTGGGTATTTATTTTCATATAAAGAAACGAAAATAATTTCGTTAATAAGCATTATATCAAATAACCGAAATCTGACATTTTTCTACGAATTTAAAAAAAAGATTACCCTCCGATTATTAGGAGCCGAGATAATAATTTTTTTTCAAAAAATCACTGTGGCTCTAATTTTTAAGATTAAGAGTTCCGTCTGAAACCAATTTGTTCCAAGGAAGAACAAATTTGTCAAGGAAGAATTGAATTTTTGCTGTTGAAAAACTTTTGAATTTTTTGATGCCGGAAAAGTTTATTTAAAACCATTGGAAAATTAAAAAACATGAGCGAGGCAGTGTGCCGGACGGAGTGAGGGAAGCAGGGTTGATAAAAAACGTATTTAAAAAAAATAATGAAACATTCAGTTTTTTTTGTTTAAAACAGTTTAATGTTTTATATATGTTTTAAAAAGTTTTAGAAAAAAATTGCGTTTAAAACAAAAAAAAACCTTTTAAATATATTTATTATATTTATTATATTTTATTAAAACGCATTTTCACTTTCAAGTATTTTGAAACGTTTCTGAGATACATTTTAGCATTTAATTACACCTACTTCCTTATTTTTCTTAAATTTGAGCGTATTATCACATAAATATATGTATATTTGAATGTGTTTGCTATTTAACATTTTATTTGATTGTATTTTAAGTTATGCAAATTTAAACAATAGCATGGCATTTTACTAATGTGGTCTTTTATGCGTATTAATTACTGATGGCTTCTTTTTTGAGATTTTTATTTCAAAATAATTATTTTTTGAACTAATTGTAGTTCTAATATTAATCTACAATTTACATTACTATAGATTTTTATAGGTTACCAAGCTGCTTATATACAGGGTGTTTGGAAAATAATAATAAATCTTTCGCATAGGGGCAGAATGAATTAAACTGAGAAGAAAAGTACTCTAGCATTTTGCAATTTTTATAATAGTTAACAAGATATTAATTGATAAAAATTGACGAAAATTGGTCTTCAATAATTTTTACTGAAATACTATCAACTTTATAGAAAAACTGCAAAAGATAAAAATTGTTTATTTTCTTCTCAGAATTCTACGAACTTTTTTAGAATTTTTTATCAACTTTTTAGTTGATAAAACTACATTTTCTCATTTTTACCAATAAGAAAATACGGTATTAAAAAATTCTGAAAAAATTCTGAAAAAATTCTTAGAGCTCTATGAAAAGAAAATTAACAATTGTCTCTTGTAGGTTTTC